AATTTGTATCACAAAAAAAATAAGGGTATACGGGTTCCCCACTATTTCTTAAATGGTAATAGGTAAAAAGTTGGTTAAATTAGAAAAAAGTTGCGCAGTTTGTTGCTCGTTAAAATGGTGCCAAAAACCCTTTGGGAGAGTCAAAATATCGGACAAAAAATTAATGAATTTATAAAAATGACAGTTTAAGAAAGAGTAATACTGTCCCTATGAAATAGTAGGGATCCTGTACTCAGGCGCGTAACTACAGGGGGCCTAGGGGGACAGCCCCTCCCTCAACATCGCCAAGCCACCTCCAGGAAAAGGCCGACTTTGATTTTTTATGACAGTTTTATTTTATAAAATGCATGTGGTACTTTTTTTGTCGTTTGTCTAATATACCAACTTTTTCATTTTATACAGGGTGCAACAAAAATATGTACAGAAAATTTAACCACAGTTTTTGGAATCAAAAATAAGTCGATTTATATAAAAAATGGATACCTAGTAAAAATCTTTAAAGTAAAAATTTTAAAAGTGATTTTTACTCCCCTTCTTACAAATCAGAAATTCTTCATTAAGTGTTGGCCTTCTACAACATAACCCGTTTAGTAACCTTTTGTGTAACATTTATAACATGTTTCAGAAACTTTTTCAGTTAAATATTTAACTAAAATGTTTTAGAAATATTTCAGAATCTTGCTTGAAACGTTTGAAATATTTCTGAAACACTTTTGTAATAATGTGTACTGAAGGGTAATAATAGTTTCAGATATTAAATAAATGTAAATCTCACACGAATAACATAAAGAATGATAAAGTAGGTATTCTAGAATGGAACTCGTATATGAATTTGATATTAGAACGAAAAATGTAAACAGCCGAGATAGAGCCCAAAAATTAGTTTTACATTTTACATTAAATACTTTTACGTGGGCAGGTTTAAGGAGCGAAGGACCCAAATATTTATACATGGACAGGCTTAAGGGAAAAGGGCCCAAATATTTTTATATGCCAATAAGCCAACTACATAGCGCCGACCACATAAGGCTACATCAGCAAGTAAAAAGGGATAATATTCTAGCAATGCCTACTGATAGAATCATAACCACGTACAAATTTGAAAGAAATTTTCAAATTTAAATACCAGCCCAATAATCTTGGAAACAGGGACCTCCCCTACAGGCTGAACTCGTCTGGTATACAGACGGTTCAAAAACTAAGGATTCCGACCCAAGTCGAAAACAACAATTTCGCTGAGTTTAGGAAAATATGCAACAGTGTTGCAGGCTGAACTAATAGCCATACAACACTGTGCAAGAGAAATATTAAATCAGCAAGTATCAGGCAAAACTATTGCCATATACTCTGATAGCCAAGCAGCTCTAAAGGCACTTCTCTCGCCAGAAATAAAATCACGACTGTTGAAAGACTGTCTAAAAGACCTGGCAGCGCTAAGTAGTCAAAATAAGGTGACCCTGGCCTGGGTTCCAGGTCATGAAGGATATCAGGGCAACGAAAAGGCAGACGAATTAGCCCTAGAAGGCTCAGATAAGGCCATGACAGGCCCCGAACCCTTCTGCGGAGTTGCTAAGGCATTGTGCAAGGCATCCATTACACAATGGATGCAAAAAGAGTCTCAGAAATAGTGGAACAACTATCCAAGACTGAGACAGGCCAAACAGTTCATTAAGGAACCATCGGCCAAGTTCACGAAATACCTACTGGATCAAAAGCGTCAAATCGTTAGGATAACATTAGGCCTTCATACTGGACACTGTCGCCTCAAAAGGCACATGAATGTCATAAATCCAGCAGAAGAAACAACTTTGTGCAGGTTCTGTGAAGAAGAAGGGGAAACATCATTCCACGTCCTGTGCCAATGTGAAGGCCTGGCTGGAATGAGGTTTCTAACATTGGGCGAAGAAAAGCCAAATGCATGCAACTATACATGCGGGAGCCACTGTCAAAGTCTAATAAAAAAGACCAGGGCTAGACGACATACTCTAGAACAAGCAGAGTCCCACAATAGATCTAAAAAGGTCGCGGTGGGCAAGGACAAGTAACGTCCAGCTCCTAATCTAATCTAATCTATGGTAAATTAAAACTATGCAGTAATTGTAAATAGAACCCCATTCCTGGTATCCTAAAAAAGGAACAATCTACATAAAATAAAAAATTTAGAAACCATCAGGAATCGGTTACATGAGCTACTGGAAGAAAATAGCGTTTAAGAAGACAGGCAAAAAAGAAGATGAGTCTTAAAGTGTTAAAAGTATAGATGATCAACTCGTTAGAGTCATAGTGTTAAAAAGAAAAATATGTATTTGTTTAGTTTGAATTCTGCAATTAAAATTTCATCAGGGCTATCCTGGTATAGGTGGAGTTGTAGTCATGGGCGTCGTTTGGGGGGGGCAAGGGGGGGCAGTTGCCCCCCTGGCTTTTAGCGACTTAATCAACAACGCGTAAAATTATGCATACGAACAACAATCTCATATAGAAATAATAACATTAAGGCTAATATAGTTGAAGAATATTATAGGTTGAATATATTTATTGAATATCGTCGGTCTAAGATGCAAATGGCCTAACTCCTAAAATATAAATTTTTCAGGAAATGCAAAAAATCTTTTAGACCTAACCTTAATGTAAAGGGGTTATACTAAATGAGTCATGTAATTTTTGGTGCGAATATTTAAAATAGGCTTGACAGACCATTTCGAATCGACAGTACAGATCTTTAACTAACGGGTAGCCAATAAAACGTATCTTTGGTAAAAAGTGTAGTCAGGCCATTTGCATCTTAGGCCGACGATATCTGGAATCCCTTATTTCGTCACTTACATCACGCTTTTTCGAAGACTGATAATTTTCCTTAAGCCTGCTACATCCCAAAAGCATAAAAACAATACTTTTTTCATTACCGATTAATGAAAGTAGTGGAAAAATTTGGAATCTACAATTTTGAAGTTGAATACCAAACTGGAGTATGAAAGAGCTTTCTACACACAATGAGCTTTTCATTAATGATATAGCATCCAAATATTGTGAATTTTATCCAGACATAAAAAGTGGTTTAAAAAATATTTATGGCTCTTCCACCAACGACAGAGTTAATCGAAAGAACGTTTAGCACGCTAAGGCATGTTAAAACATGGCTGCGATCTATTCGATCAGTGCGAAGTCATGGTATGGAAAGCAAAAGCGATACTAACGCAAACTGCGGATAATTCGAGTACTTTAGGGCGATATTTTGTAATTTTGGCGTATCAAATACACGTATACATTTTACTTTTTACTAAAAAATAGGTTAAAAACAATAAAATGAGCAACCGGAGTTACTATGTTGCAAATTTTACTAGCAAAAAAACTGTAAATTATATGAATTTTCAGTAGCAAAATCGAAATTAAATCATAAAAATAAATAGACAGCTGTATAATATGAAGAAAAAAACCTTTGTTTTTGTAATAATAACAGTAATATTGGAAATAATAGACATCAGAAAAGGTTTTAAATAAACAATAAATTATTATTTTATGATATTCTTCAACATTCCTTAAGTCTTAAATGTTAAGCAAATGATTTCTGCCTTTAATTATTGTATATGGCTGAAATGCAATCTTATGACTTATTGATAGGAAACCAGTTTTAATCGTTAATTTCTATGGGATCTTTCGAACTAAAAATGAAGAAAATATAAATTACAATCGCAAATATACCAATTATTTTGGTTAATACGTTTTAATTCTACGTTATTATATAATAGTAGTGTTTTTATTTTGACATTATTTAACCTATTCTTCAATGACAACTTATTAGGCTTAGGCAAGATCTCATACATTTTCTCGTAAATATCTACCTATGTTTTATTATTGATTTTTATTAATTATACTACTTTTTTTAGCTGATTTTTTCACTTGTTATATAAATCCATATACTTTCATTTTGTCTTTGTTTACAAAAAATAAGTTAATTAACTTATTTTATTTATTAAGAAATTTAATTAACTTATTTTACATACTGTCGTGTAACCACCTAAAATCGACCCTGGTTCTCTTGCGTTACAAGCCGCCGCTTCGTCTATATTTTGATACCGCAGAACAGAGACAAACACACTCCTTCGAGAAGTTACTAGAGAAATCTCATAGAGGAAGAATTTTCAGAGATTCTAGACCGCCGAGAATTTACTCGAGCAGAGCTGGCTTTTGTAAAATAAATAAATTAGAAGTATGAGTTATATTAATATATTAAATAAATTAATTAGTACGTTATCAATAAATTATAAATAAACTATTTATAAATTAAGTTAATTAACTTATTTTAGATTTTCTTCAATTTATATACCCAATATGTCTGGATGGTATTCTGCTGATTTTTAACAACTTAATAGTCAAATTATGATCAAATAAATTGTCACATAACTTAATATAATATTTCTAGGTGTCTATCATCATGTTACTGGAAAAGGGATAGGTTTACATGCAGTGAGAATCATTGGATGGGGTACCGAAAACAACGTTGCTTATTGGTTAGTTGCTAACTCTTGGAACGAAGATTGGAGCGATGACGGTGTATTTAAAATCAAAAGAGGTGTTGGTGAATCTGGCATCGAAACCGAGATAGAAGCAGCGCAAGCTGAAGTTTAAATAGTTATTAGGTACGTTTCAATAAAGTTGTATCGATATCTTCATAATTTTGTTTTAATATAGACTGTACTTTATCTAGTTATTTGTTAAACCTCTTGTTACTTTACACATTTATAAAAAATGTTATCTTTAACTAACTATAATCGCGCTGAAATTAATTTTATTTTTACCAAAATTTTAATAAAGTGAAATAATATTAGTGAGTGAACAATAACTTTTATATAATCGGTAAAATAATCAGAAGAATCTCCTTCATAAAGAATTAACTACTAACAACTATGAAACACCCACTATAATTTTACCCGCTTTAAATACAAACAGTATGTTGCTATGGCAACGATTCATAAGCATGTAAACATTAAACGCACCCTCACACAGTTGACACTTTACATTGTTTTGTTCTATTCTAATGTCATAAAATAATGGTTCTTATAAATGTTTACACAAGAAACATTAAAATTAAGTATAAAAGTACCCCATTTTCCAAAGCTACTTTTTTAGTTTTAATTACTGAATTATTTACAATAATTTTTTCATTTATCATCGGCTATAACACAGGAGGTAAGTTTTAAATTTTTAATAAGATTATATTATTAATGCTTTATATAAATTTGTAGGATTCTGGTTGAAGCAGGCAACTTTTTATGAGCAACCCAAAGTGTCTTTACTCGGGGATTATATATTAATGGCCACAACAAATAATACTAGCCCTGTTGTTTGCAGCACATACCCTTTTTTTAAAAAACGTTTGCAACAATACAACTTCTGTTCAGTAATAAAGGTAAAATGCATAATTATTTACTTATTAAATTCTAAATATAATCAATAAAGACTGTAATAGACAAATATGGATATATAAAACACCGAATTTCCTGGGCCCCATTTATTTCAGTAAATAATAGCAGGTTTTTGTTGTTCGTAGTTAGACTTAGATACCTTTAATATACAGTGACAAAAAAAAAGTTATATGAAATTTATATTTTGAACATTTCTTGGGGTCACATCAATCTGTGAGATCTACAGAAAATTATTATTAATATTATATTCAATTATATTGTGTATCAAAAAACTATATTGCGTCTCTTAATATAATTATGATAGTAAAAATCCTGAGGGCTATATAAAAAAACTTGGGAGAAATTAATCACAGTAGAAGTACAAAAAATAAAAAGATAAACAGATTGTTAACCAAAAATGTATAAATTAATCGAAGAGGTCTAAGAACTCTAATTCAAGAGAATAAAAAAAAGTTGGATTAAAATAAAATAAAGAAAGACAGAAAATGGAAGAATTTGAAGACGAACAGGATGGAAGAAATGGATCTATTGAAACGGTTAATAAATAAAGATATTTTATCCTTTTCTAAAAATAATTAGTAAAAATGTCATCTCTTAAATTGAATATTATTGGCACTAAGATGTAGTTGGTTTGCAATTAAAGAACATGAAATTTTCCTTGGTTTATTCGGTCGTTTTTATTTTCTGTTGTTTAGCACAGCACTGCATATGTTTCGGAAAACTTTTCCATCTTCAAGTGCAGTCAAAATTAAAAAAAAACATGGGGACGATTACAATTTAAATTTTTTTTAAAATAACAGAAATCCCATCTTTCTGTTTCAATGTGTGAAGGTGTATTCGAAATAATGATTTAGTTTAACACGATAAAGTAGGGAAACAAAAAAAGTTTTTACAGAGTTAAAAATTACCACTGGCGTTACAGTTAAGGATTAAAAAGCTTACAATTATTTAATAATATTAAATTGTTTGTAATCGTCCCCATTTTTTTTTATTTTAATCAAGGAAAATTTTTATTTATATAAAATTCTGCTACGGTTAAAAAATTATTCTTATTAAAATAATACATATTTTATGTATTTCAAGTTTTCAAATAATTTGCAGTTAAATTTTTTTTTTTTTTAGTTTAGAGAAATAGACCACGAATTTGATGGAAAGAATGATGAAGTAATTGTAGAAATAAGTTTAAATCTTTACAATTTTACGTTAAAATCAATAAACTTAGTGCTTCCAATAAAATACCAATTAAGTGTAAGTATACAGTAACGTAAAAGTAGGTAAATAATATGACTTTATAAGAAGAGTCCAAAGCAAAAACGATGAAGGTCATTAAAATTTAATTCTCTGTAAATAGAATTTTTAGTTTCGAAACCAAAATACACTTAGAACAGGAATATTAAGGTAAATTAGTTAGTAGCCATTTTGTGCAACATTTATTGTATATTATACGCTGGTTTTTCTTCGTGCACGTCGCACACCGCCCTTAGCCGTTTTGCCCGCGACATTCATCTTTTTTGTTGGGTTTACTATTTTTTGTTTCTGAAATAAGTCCGTGAATATGCAAACTTTATTGCTGTATAAACTAGTTTAGCATATACTACAGACTCTCAGCTATCTTATCGTATATTTAATTCATTTTTAGAAAAAAGTGACTTCCATCGTTTTTGCTGTGTGCTCTTCTGTACTAATCTTATGAACAATGCTGTTTCCGATGCACTAATCATTTTCAAAACTTTGTAGAATGTAAACGGTGGCAGACGTTTGCTATGATTCAATGATGGTAACTTTTGATTAATGATTGAAAGTTACAACAAATCCGAGCGCCTTAATAAAATATATAGTTCATTTTGCATCAGTCCGAAGTGGCAACTGTCACGAAATACGGCCGTACGATTGATTAAAAAAAACTTTACCAATTTATCTAACCTATGCGGCCTGGAGCCATCGCGGGTTACTTCGGGAAAAATATATACATTAAATGAGAAAAAAGAATAACTAATTTACCTATTCTGTGCGGCCTGGAGTCATTTAAAATTAAACGATCGCTCATGCACTGGTTAGGTAAATTAGTGATTTTTTTTACCTACTTTAAAAAAGAAGGAGATTCTCAATACGTTCAGCGATAATTTTTTAACACGATAACCGATTTCAATGATTTTTGTTAGAAAGGCGGTACCTCAGGGATGGTCCCATATAAATTTGGTCAAAATCTGATAAGTAATTGGATCCATGAGAAAATCCTCAAACTCTTAATTTTTTATGTTTAGCGATAATTCTTTACCACCTTGTCAGATTTTTACGATTCCTTTTTGTTAGTAACAGAGCATCTCTCCAGCTAGCACAAAAACATCCCATCTTCGTTAATAAGCTGGAATTTAAGGCTCTTTAAGCTCTCATGCAATGTACTTTTAATGTAACCGCCTAATATCCCTGCAACCGCCGAATATCCGCAACGGCAAGCCTTTTATAGAACATCTTAGGGAGGTTACAAAGTGAAGTTTGGAAAACATCATACTAACACTTTTACGGTACTTACCCTGAAAGTTGTTCTGAAACGTTCTATAGATGTTATAATGTAAATTAGTTCTACAGCATTATACAGTGTGTCCACGGATGGACTTAACTATACTGGTGAAAATATTATTTTAAATTAAAAAAAGAATTCTTCATAATTTCTTTTGATTGTTAAATAAATACGATTCACATTGAGAAATTATTAAAAATATTTTTTTTAATGTAAAATAAATATTTTTAGAAGTATAATTAACTCCATCCGTGGAGACATTATATTGTTCTTTGTGTAATGTAATACAGAAAGGTCGAAATTGAGATTATAGTAAAATCTCTTCTTCTTCTCTTTTTTTGGACTATGTCCAATAGTAAAATCTTAATCGAGACATGAAAATTTCAAATAAAACAAAATATTTGTTCTTGAAATCAAGTCCCAATATCACAAAAGTAGAGGTAGGTATATCACAAACACAATTACAAAAGTGCGATAATAAAAGCTAACTATATAAAGCACTGGAACTATTGGACAAAATTAGTTAAATAGTATAATGAGGTACCAATATTGCATAGGTTCACTAGAAGCTTAAACGATGAACGATTGTACAAAAGTATATTTAGGTATATAAGGTATATTTTAGGGATTCACTAATTTTTATCAAGATGGCATTGTACGATTCTAAAAGCTAGATCAGTGAATAATAATAGACAACTGCAACAATATGACTAGGTACTTAGGTACATATTATAATAGAGGATAGTTCCCTGATTTCTTACCTGTAGACGCAGATATTTCATCTTTTTAAATCAAGCTTTTTAACTTTTTTTGTATAGATATGTACCTAAGTTTTATTTTATTTTATTATTTATGCAATAGTAATAAATATTCTTTTATTGTAATCACATGTGGCTTGTAAATATTTTTATTTATACTATAACCCATACAGCACAAACACATTTCAGAAATATTTCAACAATGTTGCATTGAAACATTTGCAATGTTGTATAAATATTACGAAACATCCCAGAAACATTTCTAAAATATGCCTGAAACGTAAAAATGTCCTCTAAATATAATATTTCACTGTAATATTTCTGAAATGAAAATTAGAAATCGTTTAGAAATATTAAATAGTAATATTTCAGAAACGTATTCTAATTTTTTTTTAATATATTATTAAACTAAAAAATAGACATTTAAAAATATACATGTTTATTTAAAATACCCAAAACTCAAACATTGATTCTTAAACAAATAAATACACATGTTTTAAAGAATATTTCATAAAATATAGAACCGAATTGCTTCATTTCCACAAATTCCTTTAAATGCACTAATTTGAAAAAACTAGGTTTTTTTAATAAATGCTCCAAGTAAAGAAACATTTACGATTATTACAATCTAATCATTAAGATCAATTAGCAATTTTATTTTTACTTAACTAATCTAGGGATGAAAAACTTCATAATCTAAGATTCTACTCACTATTTCACTATATAGTGTACTTTAGAGTCTAATTATTTAGTTACACTACCGTTAACGTATAAGACTTAACCGCACTATTATACTCTGTTTTAATATAAAGGGCCCCACTCACCTCGTTCTTCTTCGCCATTTTTAACCGACGGTTAAAAACGGTGGAAGAAAGAACATTGACTGATGTCCACACACAACAGTTTTTTTCGCGTCAGTTTATCACGATGGACCGTACGTGCTTGTTAGCAGTGGCAGCTGTTTTGGCAGTGGAAAAAAATCGCGAAAAAAGAAAATCTCGAAAAAAATGGACTAAAGACTGGCTACTTAAACGCAGTACACTGTCACATACAAAATTATTGGAGGAGCTAAGATTGGAGCCTGGCGATTGGCACAATTACTTGAGGATGGACGAGGATATGTAATGGAAACTGTTAAAACTAACACGTATAAGCTGTGCTAACACCGTTAATTGAGGGACATAATACCCAGTTTCGTGATGCATCTGTCCTCACGAACGCCTAAGAGCTACTCTGCGGTTTCTGGCCACTGGCCGCAGCTACGGGGATCTGAAGTTTGGCGGTTCTAAAACAAAACAAGGCTCAGAATGTGGAATATACTCAAGATTTTTAAACCTAAACATACAAGGGGCTGTGAGCAATAGTGCCAGTGTGTAGTTCAAACAGAGCTAACGGGAATTCTCATAGCAGCAAAAAAATTAACCAGAAACAATATCATTGGAAGAAATATGCTCATCTATAGAGATAGCAGACAAGTACTACTCACCCTGAACAGGCCACGAATTTACTCAGGGTTAGTACTAGAATGTCACGAACCTTTGGCCGCAGTATCCATATCAACAATGTGGTCATCTTAAGATGGATCAAAGGTCACGCCATATCAAAAGGGAACGATCTTGCTGATTCACTAGCAAAGAAAGCAGCCAATCAAATACCTTTTGGACCTGGCCCTTCTATTGGCCTGACAAAATTGGTAGTGACAAAGCTAATTAAAGAACATAATATCCTTGTGAAATTCAAGAAAAGATGGGATGAAACTACAGAGTTGCCAGGGAGCTCTTAAGTTATCCTGGCAACACTGCAGCAAACAAATACTTGACTATGACTAGACAGAATCTGAGCCTTGTCACAGGCATTCTGACTGGTCATTGCCAAGTACGGAAGCATCTCCATATCATGGGGCTGTCAGAATCCGCACTCTGCAGAGGGTGCGAATAAGAAGATGAGACCATCGAGTACATCCCTTACGATTGTACGGCTAACACCGGCCGATATAAGAGAAGCACCTCTTGGCGACGTTGTCAACTACATTAAATCTGTAGGGTGGCTCAGGAGCTAGGAGGTGCATATCATCTTAGGAGGATGCACAATGGGTCTAATGAGACCTAAGTGCCGTGGGGGTAACCCACCCTTCACACGTTATAGATACTCCAAAACATTAGTGTTATTGTTATACTCAACCATATGTACACTAAGGTGTAATACTAGTTGCCTAATAGTAGGTTGGGAAAGGCATTACCACTCCTACAATATCACTGCTCGACAAACTCTTAAGTGATAAAAGTTATTGTTAATTGAGATATACAACAACCGAAAGGTATTTTAACTTTATTGTAAAATAAATACAGTAAAAAAGGTGCAAATTGATTTGACTAAAACGTCCTCCCCTGACGAGAGTGTTGGAGTTGATTGGAGATTCACTTTTTATAAAATTTCAGGTGTTATATATTCTTCTTTAGACAATTCTGTGATATTTACTTTTGCTTCTAAAATTCCTAGAATGTCGTCAGCTACAAAGGAAACCTAAAATATATTTTTAAAATGTATTTTTAGTTGAATTAAGTATATTATTACCAGGAAATTACTTTTATTTGCAACCATATATGTAATGTTGTCATTACTAACCTCATTGAAGGTTGGGAAGTGTCACATTACACACCTCTACTTCCCGCCCTCATTTCATCTATTCTAGATGAATATTTTTTATATTTAAAAAAAAAATAACACAGTGTTTGACAAATTTTATAATACCTTTTTAATGGCAAACAATAAAAAAACAACAATGAACTAAAATATAACAAACTACTTATTGATATTTATTATTCGCGAATTTAATATCCGGCTTTATCTGACATTTATTTATATTGGTGACAGTTATTTAGCCCGTAATCACAGTAACAATATATTTACCTACTTGATTATTCTGAGAAAACCGCGCGCTTGGTAATTTGTCATTAAATGTAATATTTTAGGTATGTTCAGAACAAAACAGAGATTTATTAACGTTGATCGAAATATGATGGTTGTAAATAAAATAGTATACAAACCTCGGTAGGAAGTTTCATTCCTGTCTCGAGATCATAGCTAACCTCGACGCTTCGCGTCTCGGTGATCTAACTAATCTCACGACAGGAATGAAACTCTTCCCACCTCGGTGTGTAATATACTATTGCACATTTCTGTTATAACTATTAGGTGTAAAATGTAATTCTGAATGTATCTTCTCGTTTACAACGATTTATCTGCCATTCTCTGTTTTTATTGTAGTTAAACCATTTTGTATTGGGTACCTAATAACTGAAATAATAAATTTATATCAGGCATTGTAATCTGAGACAAAGACAATGGTTAAGAAAATTACCTTACCAAATCTACTCAAATGTATAAAAAATAATTTAGGTATAAAAACTAAAACACAAACATCACAAACGTGATAAATGACAAGAAAAAGTGACAACTAACATAAACGTAAACGTTCCGAATTCAGATTGTGATGTTTATATAGTACTTTTCGAGGATACGTTTTATATCAAATTAAATTATTACATTTGTGTAAACATAACAGGTAGGTTAAGTAGGTAAGTAACAAATAAAAGTTTTGCGAGGTTTTGATTTCCCTCAACAACCTCCCTTGAACGTTGTATTTACGTTGTATAGTAATGTTATTACTTTCCCTCAAAACAACATCGCCGAAAGGCTTGGCAACGTTATGTGTTAGCTGGGTCAGGAGTGGTCCCATATAAATTTGGTCAAGATGTAGTAATGGCATCTGTACGATTTTGAAGTCGGTTTTTTAGAATTACTTTTAATGCTAAATTTTCGGGCGCCGTTTTTACTGACGCTCTTTTAACACGCGCTATTTTGAAACGCGTTATTTCGTGACAGAGCCGAATCTTACAGAACAGCTTTGTCCATAAGCATAGTTAGTTCTCTTATTAAATAAATTTAACTTTTATTTTAGGATCTATGTCCATTAAAAATGCAGTCGTTAATCTTTTATCAATACAATTTTCAGCAATATGACGTTGTGACTGAATTGAAAATTAACGCTCATTTACAATTTTTTCAATCTAGTCCTATTTTATGTAGTATAAGGTTCTCAGAAATTTACAATTTTCCAGTAATTGAAAATAAACCAGAAAGTAAAAACTATGCATTAGAGAATATTATGGAAAAATATTTAAAACGAAATTGTAAGTAAATAAAAGTAACATTTTTTTTTAATCTAGTTAAGTGTCGTTTTTAAAATTTGCCATTTTGAGTTGTTTTATGACTTTCAATTTTAAATCACACCGTTTAGCGTTTAGACAACTATCGCAAAAAAATTACAAACTACAAAAATATTGAATAAAAGTTTAGTCTTGCTCTAAAATTAAAACTTGAAGTTTCAACAACATACTACATACTTCAAAATTAAAAGTATCCTATGCAAAATCGAAATTATTATATCACCGGATGTAGAAAAGGTTATAAAATTTACTAGTATTATCAAATTTGAATCACTGTGATTTGATATATATTATTATGGTCTATATCTACTAAAAAAATTTCTTCCTGAAATAATTCAAGAATTGGGAATTCGTAAATATGATCACTGATCTTATTTCAACTAAATTTAAAGAAAATTAATAGTTAAATATGTGTAGTAGTTTACATTTTACTTTTTTCAGTCAAAAATTATTTAATATGAAGACACTGCCATACTTGCATGAAAAACTAACATTTAGAACGGATATTTATAGTCTAAATATTCATTTTTTAAAGTTATTTTATATTCAATGTCACAGTCCATATCAACTTATTAAGAATCGATTCATTGTTACATTTAAAACCAAGACCCATTATAACCGATATTATAATATACTGCTGCAAACACAATAATTTTTTTCTTTCTTCTATTGTCTGTTTTTTCCATTGAAACACTGTCTAGAATCTTTTATATAATTTTACCTAATCAATTCAATGAGCAAATGAATTCAAATTAAATTAAAATAATTAAAACAAATTGTTTATTTCAGAGCGAATTCATCTAAGACACTATTATTTTATTAATTATACACATTTTTTCAATTTCAATAAATTCAAATAAAATTAAAATAAACTACTTATCTATTTCAGAGCGAATTCATCTAAGACACATATTCTTTTTATAATTACTAATTTTACCCACTTTTTATTCATAGTAAATGCAATGAAATTTCCAATGCACGTCATCTAATATGGACATTCAAATGTCCGTCTATATCCAGAATATAAAAGATATCCTATGGATATCCAGCAAAATATCTAATGGGTATTTTCCAGACAATACAAGAAATCCCAGAGATATCCACAGAATATATTTTGTGCATATCCAATATACCCAGTGGATCTAATATGGATATCCAAATGTCCGTCTATATTCCAGGATATAGAAGATATTCGGATATTCAGCCAAATATTTTATGGGTATCTTTAGTAGAGGTTCATAAGTAACCAATGATTATTGAATAACGTCGAAAGAAAATAGCAGAGATAAAAAATATTTTCAACGCTCTTTGATTTTGCCCACTAAGGAGAAAGTCATCCTTATTAGGACTCAACAATAAATGGAAATTCTCGACTCCAGTCTCTAATGAAGTCTGATTGCGATACCAATTTTGATCGAACTCAGTTACGGCGGGTTTAGCATGAGTAGATATTCAACGAGCGAAAGTGGTATCGCCATCTATACTTAGTAAGCAAAATCAAAAATTACATCTAGTGGATATCCACCATGGTTTGCGTTCGCGCCTAGACTTTGATATATTTAGTGGATGTCCATGGGATATTAAATAAACCTTAAAAAAAATTAATTTTAAATATCTGAACGGTACTATTAGCCACAATGGCGAGCACAATGGTGTAATTTTTTAATAATTTGCTATATAATTACTATTATTTATGGACATTTGCATGTCTATAAATTACATCCCATGGATATAAAATAGATATCCACCATGGACTGGACATTCAGTAGATATTGGGATGTCCAGTAGATATCCAAAGGATTTGGTGTGCTGTCTGGGTTCTTTCTTGTTCCGGTAACATGAACGGTTGGGTACTTATTTTCTTTTTCAGTGGCGTTTTGCTTCTTGATTTATACAATAAGGTCACTCTGGGGATATTGTATTTTTTAGCTGTTGTGGAAACTGCTTGTCCCCGTAGAACTTCTTCAATCGCCTTCTTCATATCCTCTTCATTGTACCTGAACATTTGTCCCTTTATAGGCGGCATACTTAATCTAAAATTTCATGTTTCAGTAGATGACATCCTAAAATTCTAGTAAATGACATTGGTGTCAACTACTAGATCCAATAAACCTAGAGAAGTATTACTGACGGAGGATATGATTTTTTTTTTAAATATTGAAAAATGCAGTAGAAACAGTATTAAAATCAAGAGTCTGTGCTTAAAACTAGTAGTTGACATCACTGTCAATTACTAGAACACTGAGGTCTCTTGTATTAGTGTTTGACACCAAGCTTATTCCTCATTTAGAAGTTAGAATTCGTTTTTTTAAGGTACATTTATTTCTCCTATAACTGCAGATCAAAATGGTACAAATACAATAACAATCATGCAAAGTTTAATTTAGAAAATTTTTTTTTATAAACTTTCCTTCTTATCACTTGTATTAAGTAAATTCACGACACATGAACTAAACGCGACCATGCGACACTAAAATTAGCGCCAAATTGCCGTTGTGGGCCAGAATCATACCAAAATTGGAGTCGCCTCACAAATGTCGCTACTTGTTCCTGGCGTTCAAAGAATGTTAAAAATATTTTTTAATTCTTTAGTTTTGAATGATTTAAATCCAAAATGTCAACTACTAACACGGTGTCAAGTGCTAGTGCTTTTAGCTTAGGTACTCTTTATTCAGCTGAAAATTTTTCCACGATTTTCATCCTTTCTTTAGCCCAAAAAGCAGAGTTGTGTCTGGGAGGAACTATTATTATATTTCATGGCAACTTAATTAGATGGTGTCATTTGACTTATAGATGAGGAAAACTCGAAAAACCCCTTTTTCTACAAACTCTTGTAGTTTTTAGGCTCCTTTTATCGTTATTTTGCCAAGAGCGGTTTACTGTATAATTTTGAAAAATCCGTATTTTATCCAGATAAATAAATTTATGTAGACAGATTTTTTGTACTTGTGTAAAACTCGAAAAAACAATCTTTTACTGCAACATGAGGAGTTCCATAAGATCCCGCCAGGATTGTCTTTCTTCCATGTATTTAAATCCTATATTAGTTAACACTGTATACTTTTATCTTCTACTGCCCATAAATATTTCTCTTTGCATTAAAGTTCCATGTAATTTCGCAAGTTCCTTCTTCACGAATGGAGTCAGAATTGAAAATTTCAGTTACAGATTTGGGACGTGGTCGCCTTTTAGGAGGAGAATTTAAAATATGGTTATTCTTTAATGCCTGAGAAATTGAGTTAACCATCGAAATATTTAAATTCAACGCCGCCGTTACACGCTCTCTGACTGCATTTATTGATAATAAAGGGCCACCATTATCTCGTTCTTCTTCAAAATATCTTATTAGATACCCCACTAATTCTTTCGCACGGCTATTTAAATGCTTAGGCATTTTAAAAATAAAAAATAAATTTGTTTATTAAATAATACTGTTGACAATTTGATAGTTCAATTATACATGTCATAAAAAGACATATTGATTTGACAACTTTCGGTTACTTATACCAATTGCCCACTTCAAAATTGAAAAGCAACAAATATGACTAACAGCAATGAGTTAACTGTTCAATTTGATAAACAATTTTCAACATCGATGACTTGCACCAGAAATTTCATTGCATTGGGTAAAAAACTGTTTTCCTTTTCCTAAAGAATATTTATAAAAGATGTCAAGTAATAAAATCATTAGATATGTACCTTTTTATTGTTGTTAAACGTTTAAATTGGTTGGCTAAAACAATATTGTGAAAATGTTATTACTAAACCCCTTAAGCCTTAAGTCATGCTGTTTTACTTTTTGCGACACTCTGTACGTTTAATTTAATTATTAATTAAGAAGGCCTACTTAAAATTATATTTTTGTTTTAGTTACAACACATTTAACAAATGTATATGCAGTAACAAAAACTGAAAACAAACAAACATTTACTCTCAGATTACTATTAAAATATCCAGAGCACCATATTTATTACAATCCTGGATTTTGGCAAATACTAAAAACTGCGTGGATTCAGTACATAGCCATTTATATTTTATTAGCTTGGCTATCTCGAAAAATAAGGAAATACATTTTTAATAACAGACTGGTGTGGTATTATGAAGATTCTCCAATAAATAAGAAATCAAATAAACATATTTACAATTTAATGTCTTTCATTTAATAATCCATCAAAAATAGTCTATTGAAATAATTTGGTACACAAAAACTAAAGAGCATAGGCATAATACATTTTCTATCATATCAATTTTAAAAATTTTGCAGCTACTTATTAAAAAAAGATTTAATTGAATTCTTGTTTTAAAATATATTGTTAGATAATTAGGCTGAATTATTTTTTTTATTGTATATTACAAAACTGTTTAAATACTTAACTAAAAAAAAAACAGATATAAAAAGAAATAAATAACTTTTACAATATTTTAATAAACATTGGGTAGTTACTTCCTTTTAATAATAAAACAACACTCATCCTCAAATGATTAAACAAAAATAATCTCTTCTACATCAAAATTTCAGTTCTGGAAAAGATTGGTCTGAACTTATTACAGGTACATCATTTCTGTTATCTTCCACAATAATAACGTTCCTAAGCATATCATCAACCTCTACTAGAAGGTATCTGTATTGATAATTCCCAGCATCATTCTAAAAATAAAAAAAATATATAAAATTGTGAACTGTATATAATTATCAATAAATATGAATGGTTTGAAGAGAAGCCAGTTATTATTTATACATTATTGGAAAAAATAGACTAAATCATACTTTAAAAACAATAAATGAACAAGTCTTTGAATTACTGCAATATTTTTAAAACATAACACGAATTACACATTTTACTTATTTGTCTCAAATGAATAATAATGCTATTCTATTTAGCAAACGTTGGTCAGAATGTAGGAAACGAAAACAACACACCTGTACCATATCCAATTGAGCAGTTCCAGAATGAAATGAGCCTTTTAGATAGAACTTCATTCGTAAGTGTTTTCTTCCATCTCTTCCTATGTAAGCTAAATGAGAAACATGTTGTCTTCTTCCTCTCCTAGTTTCTTCACCGTACGCACTTATGGGAAGTCCTAATTTATCTTCTACTCGTGGATCAGCTATACATTTTTTTACAGCTTTTGAATATATGTTGTTTGGACTATTACTTGAAAACAATTCATTGAATACAGCGTAAAATAAAGTACCTGTTACAGCAACTCCAAGAGCGATAATTCCTAAATAAGACACAGTTTTCGTAGTTTCTTTTACTTTTTCTCCTAAGGGCTTTACATTTGTATCTAACTCAACTTTTTCAGATTTTGTTGTTAAACTACTTTCTTTACTAGCTTTATTTCGCTTAAATACATTGTTATATAGTATTGGACTAAATTTTAAAATTGTCCTGTAGTTAACTAAACATGGTTGAACAAATTTAACTGGAAGCATATTTCTGAAATTTTATATAATTAAGTCAATTAAAAACAAATGTATTATTGGTCCATGAAAACATTTGCATTGTATAGTTAATTATGCAAAATAAAGTAACTACATACAAACGAAAATCTAATTTTTTGACATTTTAATTCTTAACAAAACAACCTATAACCTATAAATTAAAAATCTTCTTTTTTCTGTAACTCCTTAGATAATATATGTACAGATAGGCTACCACTGCATAAATCTGTACAAGTGTACAATGTTGATGTTACTCTAATAAAATCATTGTTTCTTTTTCTAATGCAGGCTTTCTCGCTCATATTAGAATCTTCAGCAGTAGCGTACGTAAACGAATTGCCATGGGTTATTTTAAATAGCGACTGCAAATAGAAGAAAAAATATAAAATAATGTTTTAAAACATAGGTACGTTTTTATTAAACTGAAAACAAAATATAACATTATTGTCATGTCAAAAAATTTAATAATAATGCAAAAAATGTTTTATTGCTTGTAAAAGATTTAGGTTTACAGCAAGGATTTGGAATTCTTTAAAATATCTATACCTATTGAAAACCTATAAAATAGCACAGAAGAAATACATAAAGCATTTAATTTAAAAATGAAAAAATATACTTAATTAGAATAAAAGAACCCAGTATATATTTACCTATTTAGCATAAGTAGAAGTATTTCAGGGCATTAAAAATATATATAGGAATTTTATTTACTTTTCTAATCTCGTTTAAAATATAAATTATCTAGTTTCTTTAGTTAAATGAGGTAACTAAATATTCTTATATTACTGATGATAATTTATATTTTAGACCATGTACAGTATGCGTCCAAAAACTAATAACATTTTTTTTCTTTTCAAATCGGCAATTCTGCACTAATTTTTTGATATTGCACATACATTTTCACTCATCTTAATTGTGTCTGTGATGTTTTATTTCTGTTTCGTAAGTTTGAAGCAGTACTGTTGGCAACAAAAAAGTCTTCGTAATGACCGATTTTCTAGAGACTTCACTGTAAAGTTACCAAAATATCTAGGTTTTCTGAAATAAGTATTCATATTCAATTTAATGTATAAGCTTAGATCAAATCCGATGTTTGATTTACTTCTTAATTAATGGTGACTTAACTTTTGTTGATGAGAATTTCAGAGTCATACCTTGAACTTAATATTGAAGTGTGTATGAGGTACTTTTGTTCAAACTATAAACTTCTTTTATTTGTTGGCAAGTTTAATACTCTCAAAGAAGTAGGAACTTGGCCCATAATTAAATGATTTAGTATCTGAAGAAATTACTATACTAAAAACATTCAAACATTATTGGTTCGCCAAATTTATTAAACACAATATGTACCTTCTAGTTTTTTTGTAGGTGACACCACTACTTTCTTTTTCCTGCTTTGTTTGTGTAATACAAAGTTCCTAAAAAGTAAAGATACAATTTTTAGATGTTCTTGATATTATTTACAAACGTACAAACTTATAATATATTTGTTACAGCAAAGCAGTCCTCTAAAAAGGGCCTTGAACAAATGTAATATATTCGTTAAACTTCTAACATTTTAGTCCACTCAAGTGCCTCTAACCATAAGTTTCTTCTAAATCGTCTTTTAGAACCGTAAATATAATAATTTTAATTTGTTTAATTTTCATATTTTATTTTCCTTTTTTCTCCTAAAACGACGCCCATATTCTTTGTCGAGTGAAACGTAACCAGAGACAAGTTGTCTCTGATGTAACCTAACTTCCTCTTTTATATTTGCAACTATTTTTGAAGAAGAACCAAATGAAACACAAGTTTTTTCCTAGTATAAAATAAACCCTACACACCAAAGTCTCTTTTAACACCACCATACTTGAACGAATTTAAGTAAAAACTTAAATAATTGTTTGAAAATAACTGGAAAAATAAATATAAAGATAGAGATATTAATCTATTTCTGTATAATTAGAATTTTGGATGCGATTATCATATCATATCATATATATGATTGTCATATTATCAAGGCGACTCAAACAGTTTACTGTCCTCTCTGTACTACTCAGATTTATACAAAGATTTTGTATAAAGAACATATGCATTAGGGAAAAAGACTTATTCTTCAAAGTAACTTGTATTTTACAAACTTTCGATTTTCTGACCGTATATCATTTTAAAAATCCTTAAGCAACTGCAAAGGCCGATTTCTCCTGATTCCACCGTTGTGCGTTGTGTTAAACGAAGTTTAAATTACATGAAGATTAAAATGCAATTGTTAGGGCGGGTTGTACAAAGAATGCTGTAAATTCAGTTTAGCTAACAAGAGTTTAATGTTTAACTGATTATTGGTTATATTCAAAATGTCATTTTTGAAACTTTGCTAATGCTACAGTTTGATAGAACACTGCGCGACGCTCGACGTACGCATACGGCAGAATCTGTCGCGTTCAACTCACATCAGTTTTAGTATAAGTGGTTTGTCAGAATAAAAATCAGTTCAACTTTTTCTATTGATACGTGTAGGTAAAAATGAGTTCTCATGATTTAAATAACTTAGTAGCGATTATTTTATTGCAAGAAGAAGACGTAGAAGAATATTGTTAGTTTTTAAATATCAATAAGCAAAATAAAGCATTATTTTGAACTATATTTTCTTTATAATTTTCTGTTTTTCACTTGATAAAGTGCGGGATTCTTTACCATATTATTATTTAGTCTTCTCCAGGAGAAAACTTTAACGGCATTATTCTATTATAATTATAACACAAATTATCCTAACCTCATTTCACTTGATAGTGTATGTTCAGCTGAACGCTTAGAATATATGTTCTAAGGCTGAACGAGTGCGCCCAAATCAAACTCAAATTGATTTCGACGTAATCAGTCAACGTACTCTGCTGTCTGTCTAACTGTGTTGACTCTAACAAACCATTCCAATTCTATTAACATTTTGTTAGATTTCAGCGGACGTGTGCGCTCAGCATAGTATTAGTATTGCGTGACATACTGTTCTAAAAAACCGTAGCTTAACGGTAACCACTAAACTAACAGTTCAGTAACAGTAACCGCGCGATGATTAGACACGTAATCAAAGTATGTGTTAGACACCATAGCTGCGTTTGAGAATCCACATCAGATGCATTTTTTACATCTCGAGCGTTTTTTTATCCACATCGGACACATCTGTCCCATTACATTTACGTATACTGAATCACGTGATCAAAGATTTTTTACATCTCAGATGCATCCGATGTGGATTCTCAAACGCAGCATATATAGGTTTGTTCCAACATAAACCAAATCAGTTTGTCTACTGTCGGGATTCTGCGCAGTCTAGAATTTGTGTTCCAACAAACCTTAGACTCGAAACTGTACAAAAACATAGTGTTCCAACACAACCAAAATTAATCACAAACCGATTTGTGTACTGTCAAATCGGTTCCTGGGTCTGAATAGGAACGAATTGTCAAGACGTGCGCTAAGTCGCAATAAACTGAACGTTTCGTGATTGTAATTATATTATTTGTATCTGTTGTCTCTGACAGTTCTGATTTGTATTTGTTAATCGAGCTTAGTCTTCATAGTTTTTGTTCATGATCATTTATTTTATTTTGTGGTTTATTATTGTAATAATGCGTCTGTTGAATTTAAAAAATGTGTTCCAACATAATCGAGTTCCGAGTTTAGTCCCAATCCCCGACCAGTACCTGACAAGTTGTCAATTACTAGTCATCGACAGATTGTCAACAATAAGTTTTGGACTGGTTTATGTATTGTTCCAAGATCGTTGTTGGAACAAACCTTTAATTATGGTACTCTAACGCATTTGCCTACCGACTTACCGCGAGTCGATAAATCATTATCAAACCCCAAAATAAAACAAAAATATAAACTATTCGTCCACAAGAAAATAACTATTCGTTAAAAATGAAATTCGTAGATTTACATGGTGTCGATACGAATTTGAATATAATCTTTCCTACACCCTCTTATGATAGTACGTCACTGGAAACCGGAAACACTAGTCGCCATATTGTTCTTGATTTCTGGCAAGTTTAGGAACCATGATTATAGGTTTTTTAAAAACCAGTTGGTGACACTGATTCCTAATGTCAGCGATTGTCATAAGTCACAGTGACAAAGTGTCCCATGTCATAGTGTTTTGTGTATTGTGTGAGTGTGAAGAGAGTGTAACGAGGAACACCTGCCTGCGTCCAGGCTCTCAATCTCAATCAAATGGACAATGTTTAATAAGTTTCCTGTTTAACAAAATTATTCTAAAATGGATTGGGTCATATCAGATGAATTGTCTTTAACTGTGGGTACAGTAGTAGGCTGGATTAGTGCTGGTGCTATGATAATAGGGGGTGTCATCCCTTATATACCACAATATAGACAAATAAGGAAAACCAAGGATGCAGAAGGATTCTCTTTATTAGTATGTCTCGCTTTATTGGTAGCTAACACTTTAAGGATAATGTTTTGGTAAGTACGAGATAGTATTTCACTATAATTTTCATAACAAATATTCGATTTTACTAGGTTTGGAAGACACTTTGAATATCCACTATTAGTTCAAAGTGTAATAATGAATATAACTATGTTTATGATGATCCACTTGTGTGTTAGTGTAAGAAATAAGAATCAGCTAGTTCAGGCGAGACAAAGAATTTTTACAGGTGAGTTTTTGAGATATTTTTAGAAAAATAAATCAATAATCAATAAATTACACCTATCTGATCATACTTTAAATACATTTATAAAATATTTTCAAAGCAAATCCAGGGCACCTATACCTTTAATTCTCACACATTTTTGTTAATTTCTTGATATTTCTATACTTAGTATACCTATATTTCTTGGTAAAATTATTAAATGTTTCTCTATGACAATAAACTTCATATTTCACTATTTTTATTTAGAGCTATGCTATGCTCATTTACTAATTGCATTGTCATACTTTCAAAACTAAGATACATAGTGACAATACTTACATGTACCTACATAATTTTTATGGATTAGGAAAACGAGTTTTTTTTTTAAAGTTGCTACTGTAACAAAATTAGTTTTATCTTCAATATTAATACAAAGTGTACCTCTAGAGTCTTAAAAAATATATATCAATAAGTAATTTATTAGCAAGGTCATAGGTCATGATACCTACACAAAATCAATCACACATTTAAATTTTTTTCTAAATGTTAAATGAGGACTGGTTTTGGCCTTATGACCCCATCATCATAAAAATGAATTCCAAAGTAGTAAAACCTAGTTTTTTAAAAATTTGTACATAAAGTTGAAATACTCATTATCACAAATGACATTAACATGGCAACAATGTGGAGCACCTGATACCTGCTTCAGCACATGTGTTGAGACTCCTCTTCCTATTACTTATATGTTAGTAACATCACATATTTATAAGCTAGCGGCTGCAAAGTGGTAGGACCTTATCACCAGCTGGAATTTTCTGAAGTGGTTAGCAGGGCCATTAGGAAGTATCATGTGCAATGATTTAGTTTAAAATATCTGCAAATGAGATATCAGACAACTTAAAGAGTTGTAAAAAATATCTGCTAAAAAAATTACAATACATGTATTCACTTGACATGTCTCAATAGCTCAGTTAGTTAAGCATTCAACATGAAGTTAAATTTGCATTTCATGACTGCGATTTAATTCTTGAAAGCAATTTTTGTTTTATTTTGGAAAAAATATGAAAATTAAAAAATCTTTATTGGTCCTTTTCGATCACTATACAATGATGTAGGATATGTCAAGATACATCTAGTGGACAAAACACAATTTAAAATCTACATTTAAATATACATACACATACTGATATGGAAACATCCAGTATATGGATTTCCAAAAATATTCTAAAACTACCAAATCTTAAAACTGGGTGGGTTCAAAATCTAGAAAAATTAATTTTGTATAAAAAAAAATAGAAATAATTAAAAATCAGTTAAATTAAAAAAAATCTTCTGTTTCTCTGCCCTGGCTGTTCTGGTCCTGCACCTGCTGTTGGTTCTCTTCTCTGCACTGGCTGCTCTGCTCCTACTGTTGGTTCTTTTCTCTGCCCTGGCTCCTCTGCTTTATTTATACCCTATAATTTTCTCTACTCTCTCTGTTTAATTCTGTCTTGAATATTTAATTTTGTTTAAATAAAATTTCTATTACCTTTCTTTATATTTTTTGTTTATTTTTAACTTCTCAATAACAACTATCTTCACAATTTCTACTTGCACGTTGACGGAAAAACTATTCAACGCGTTGATGACATAAAATTTTTAGGAATAATATTAGATCCCAAATTAAATTGGGAAGCTCATATAAAAATGGTAACTTCAAAATTAAGTACTTGTTGTTATATCATCAAAAATTTAAGGGAGACACTATCTTTTGATACTTTAAAACTATGCTATTTTGGTTTGGTTCATTCAACTCTACAATATGGGTTAATATTTTGGGGTTCTTCACCATACTTTGAAAGAGCTTTTGTATCTCAAAAGAAGGTTCTGAGAGCCATGTATAAGGTGACACCAACAATATCATGTAAAGAACTTTTCAAGAAAACGCAAATTTTAACACTACCTTCCTTTTTTTATTTTTCAACTAATTTTATACATAAAAGATATGAGCATATATTTAAGAAAAATAAAGAACTGCACTCATATGATACTAGATTAAAATTTAACATCCATCAACCTTTTTCACGACTACAAATAAGCCAGCATCCACCAAAATATATTTGGATTAAGTGTTACAATAAGTTCAGTAACATATTAGAAGGTTATCATCAAATTAGTCGTAATGATTTAAGAAAACATCGTAATGATTTTCTTGTAAATAATGTATTTTATAGTATAGAAGATTTTTTGAACTTTTAAACTAATCTTAACATGAATTGTCTATTATATATATATTATTTTTTAATGTATTTTACTTAACACTTTTTGACTAGTCTGATTTTACATAATATACCTAGTGTCTTTGTATAGTGTATAATTCTCAAAGATGAATAAATTCTATTTCTATTTCAACAAAAAATTGCAATTTTGAGTTGTCTGATGTCTTGTCTGTATGCATTTTATACTAAAATTCCAATTGGAGGTATGATCCTACCAATTTGTGGCCACTAGCTCTCAGTTTAATAAGAACTAAACAAATTCTATTGTTTATTCCAATTATAGGAATAAATAATTTTGTTATATTCTATTTTTGCTAAGAATGGATAAGACCTTTTGTAAAATAGCATTTTTTTGTCCATATATTATGATCTAACTCTATTTTAGTTTTATTTTTTAATTTTGAGAACTAAAAAAAAAAATTGTATATTTATATTGTTACTCTAAGTAGAAGGCTCTATGTATTTCACTCAATTTGCACATCCTTGGCTGTGGCAAGCTTCTAGGCCCAATAAAGTTCACCTTCTACTCCTAGTAACAATTACTATTATTTTCAACCACGTTTGGATGAATACAAAATATGAAAATTAATTTTTATTTGTAATAATTTAACATGTAAGTTAACGTTTACATTAGGGTGCTTCATTTTCAGGCAATATATTTTTTTTTTCTCTGTGCTACCTGAAAATCTAAAACTTTATAAAAAATAAAAAATTATGCCGCCGGGTAAAAGGTTCTTTTGTTTCAATTTAATTTTTCGATATTAAAAGATTTTTTTAGAAAAAAACCGTGAATGGCTTCTGTAGGGCATGAAATTCGCTACAAAAAGTTTCTCTAAGCAAATCCTCTCAAACCAACAGTTTTTGAGTTATAGAGATAGAAAGATGAATATTAATAATATTTCACATCAAATCTTCTTTATGTTAACATTTATTAACAATTATCAACAATCAATGCTAGTCAATACGATTGAAGAGCAAAAACTTCTGTTTACATCAATGGAAGTATAGACGAAGTCAAGAGTAGCGTCACTGTGGTTAGATATGAAACTAAAAAAATTGAAAATTAGAATATAAACAAAAACTTAAATTTTAACATATTGATAATTTGATTATATAATGATTATTAATTGAAATTTATATTTATTAAATTAATTTAAAACTAGTTTTTGAAATTAAAAACCCGATTCACATTACGACTCAACTGTAGCGTCCTAATGTTTATAATAAGTTATTATTATATGTAAAAACTAGCTATTGCCCGCGTCTTTGCTCGCGACTTTGCTTGCATATTGTTGTGTTATTAATATGTTTTTCATTTTTTTATATTTATTCATATTTATTCATTTTTTTTTAATTTTTATTCATGTTTATTCATTTTTATTTATTTTTATTTATTTTTATTTATTTTTATTTATTTTTATTTATTTTTATTCATTTTTATTTATTTTTATTAATTTTTATTAATTTTTATTAATTTTATTAATTTTTAATAATTTTTATTAATTTTTATTAATTTTTATTAATTTTTATTCATTTTTATTAATTTTTATTAATTTTTAATAATTTTTAATAATTTTTAATAATTTTTATTAATTTTATTTATTTTTGTTAATTTTTAATAATTTTTATTAATTTTTATTAATTTTTTATTTTAGTTTATTTTTATAATACTACCATACAAAAATCTAACCACAGAGCACGTCATTATTTATTTATGCTACAATTATAATTTTCAAGTTCCAACGTTCAAAAAATGTATACTTCTATACAAATTTTTACCCCCGTTTCCCCCCCCTTAAAATGTGAAAATCCAAAAACCATGAAACATCATTTTTGATTTTTGATCAGTTGGTGTAATTCAAATTTTTATGTTTCAAATTTTAAATAAAAAAATATATACACATACTATTAAACAAATCCCCCCCCATTTCCCCCCTTAAAATGTTAAAATGCAAAAATCCTGAAACACTTCATTATTTATTTATGATGAGAACCTACAATTCCAATTTTCAAGTTCCTACCTTTAAAAAATTGATATCTCCAAATAAACTTTCGCCCCCATTTCCCCCTCTTAAAATGTAAAAATCCAAAAACCCTAAAACACGTCATTATTAATTTGTATTTATTATCTACAATTCCAATTTTCATGTTTTTAACTTTAAAGAGAACCAAAAACATAGATAATCCCAAATAAATTTTCACCCCCCGTTTTCCCCCCTTAAAATGTGAAAATCCAAAACCCTGAAACACGTCATTAATAATTTGTAGTCAGTAGCTGCAATTCCAATTTACATGTTTGTAACTTCAAAGGGAACAAAAAAATCAATAGTCCCATACAAACTTTCACCCCCCGTTTTCCCCCTTAAAATGTAAAAATCGAAAAACCCTGAAACACGTCATTATTTATTTATGCTTAGTAGCTGTAATTTAAATTTTCATGTTTCTATCTTTAAAGAACAAAGAGTTTCATTAGAAGCTCCCTCCCCCATTTCCTCCAATTTCCCCCCTTTAAAGTTAAAATTTTGAAAAATCCTTTCTTAGCGGATGCTTACGTTATAAAATAAACATATGTTCCAAATTTCAGCTTTCTAGGCTCAGTAGTTTTGACTGTAGGTTGATAGGTCAGTCAGTCAGTCAGGACAAACAATTTTATATATATAGATAATAAATTTTAGTTTAAGGAAGATTTGATGTGAAATATAATTGATATTCATCTTTCTTCTATAACTCAAAAACTGTTAGAGGGGATTGACTCGAATTTTATGCCCTACAAAAGCTATACATGGGTTTCTCCTAAAAAAATATTTTAAAATTTCGAAAAATCAAATTGAAACAAAAAAAAATTTCCTGTTATTTAAATGGGAAATCGAATTTTTAAATGAGCTAAGACGCTATTGCATTCAGAACCTTTTACCCGGCGGCAAAATTTTTGACTTTTTTTAAAGTATCAGATTTTCAGGTAGCACAGAGAAAAAAAAATATTGCCTAAAAATGAAGCACCCTAGTTCACATTTGCCATTTTAAGCCCTGCTTTGAATTAAATTTTAAAATACATGTCAATAAAAGTTAGAAATGTCAACATTATCTACCATTGTGGTTGTAAATGAAGTTATAATTTGTACAAATTAGCTTCTAACAATAATTAACAATTATTTTGGCAGCAAAACCTCAAGAAGTTAAGAGATTACTAAATTCAAAGCCTCCCCGTTCTTCCCGCAGTATTAGTGGTAATTTAGCTTGCACGCCTAAGCTTGCTGCATACATTTTACTAACATTAAAATTTAAAAACTCATTTTCGATATTAACAAATTCAACTCATCTTTGATAGCTTCAAAGTAGACATTATAGGTAGATATTAAAGTAATTTTTTCGTACCTTTATTCTAATTTTAATCATTATTATACAGGATGAAAACTAAGTTGATATTGTGCATAAAAATCATTAAAATAAACAACTTTTTTTGAATATTTTTTTTGAGAAAACTTAAAAATAACAAAGCTAAAGAATTAATAAATGTAAAACCGGGCTTGTATGGAAAATTAAATGAATTAATAAGTAATGCAGCGGCCTGATTTCACTTGATAAGTAAGTAATGAGCTTGTCTGTTCAGCATGCTAAACTGAAATTAGATAATAATGTTGTCTGCAATTTATTGTTAGATAAGTGATTGCTTATATCAGGTGGGGTAAGTCAAAGAGAAGTGGGGACAATTGGGGGGAAATCAGATATATGCCTTTCACGTTGAACTTGAAAATCCCCCCTCGGAGTTAATTCTTATGAATGATTTTTTACAACGCATTTTTTTATGACAATTATACACTCATACAGGGCTGTATTGGGTATATTTTGGAATTAATTATAGCAAGATTTTATTTTTGAGTTTTTTCAAAAAGTTATTTGTTTTAATAACTACTATACACAGTTTAAAAAATATATCGACTTAGGGTTCACCCTGATTATTTATTTGACTTAGTTGAAATTGAACAAGTGAGGCTGGATAAAAACATTTTTTTAATATGCCTACATACAAAATATAATAATGAAAAATCTGCATTTTTCAATTTATATTGTATTATAAATTAAGTAAAACATTTTTGAAGTTAAAATTCTAATCTTTTTTGATGCATTTTATTACAATTTGGGATAACAATATTGCCGTGTGGTAATCTTCAATTCATTCTGTGATAAGATTATATTTGATTTATGTTTTTATCTATTTACTATATTATAATTGATTTGTGTTATTCTTTTATGGAGATCAATAAACCATAATAAGTGCTGGTTGATATTTTCTATACATACAGCAATAATGTGAATGAATAAAAGTTTCCTGTTTATCGTTTTACTCATGGCCTTTATCTATTTTGTCCAACAAAGGTCAAATGTCTTAAAATAGATTCCAAATTAAGTGTGCCCTAATTTTCTTTATTATGCTTAGGTAGATGAAGGTTTTGTATAGTTATTCATATATCAAGGGTGACTATTTTTATGAAGATACTTGTGGTGACACAGTAGTTTAATAATTGCAATTATTACAAACTGCTGTTTAGGGGATTAGAGTAAATATGATATATAATACGTTACTTTAATGTATGAATATATATTGGTATTTAATAATAATATAATAATTTATTTTTTACACAATACATATATTAATACAGGGTGTTTCTTAATAGCATGCTAATATTTAAGGGGTTGACTCTAGGATCCATTTTAAGAAAAAAAACTTTATATGAATGTATGTACTGAACGTCTCAACTTTTGAGATATGTACAGGGTGCTAAAGTTTTAAGAAAAAAATCATTTTTATACCACTTTAAATATTTTTATAAAATATGGTGTATGCATTAAAGAGCATTTTTTGATCTAAAAAACATTTTTTTATTTCCAACAGTGGCGTCCGTACTGTACTCAGACTAGATATTTTTGAAGGATAAAGTGGTACGCCACTGATTTCTCTTAAAATAAAAATTATATAATAAATGATTGTTCAAAGTTACAATAATCGTTTTTCTCGTAATTTGTCCAATTAGATGCAAATGAATGAATTTAATATTTTTGCGAGAAATCTGTGAGTCGTAGGATAAAAAGTCAAATAAGTAAATTTGTTTTAAATTGAACGGGAACTCTAAAAATAATTGTTATTTTTAGAGAAAAGCAGTGGCGTACCACTTTTTCCTTCAAAAATATCTAATCTGAGTCCAGTACGGACGCCACTGTTGAAAATAAAAAAATGTTTTTAATGTTAAAAAAAGCTCTTTGATGCAAAAACGCCGTACACCAAATTTCATAAAAATATTTAAAGTGGTATGAAAATGACAATAGAAAATTGATTTTTTTCTTAAAACTATCTCAAAAGTTAAAACGTTTAGGATATACATTCATATGAAGTTTTTTTCTTAAAATGGGTCCAAGAATCACCCTCTCATGTTAAGAAATTAGCTAGATAGGCGTCAATAAATGAAAAAAAAAAAAAGGAATATTTCACTTGTTTTGATACAGGAAAGCCTATTTAAAACCTAGATTACAAAATTCTTAATGCATATACCTATCGAAACAATTCAGTTTTTGATATATTTATACCTACCTACTAGGTATAAAAAATATTTTGATTAGTTTAAAGCCTCTCATCCATGTACTCCAAACTTTTTGAATAGACATATACAGGGAGTTTCAGAATAAAGTACTGTAAATTGGGAGACCTGTAGATCTTAACTAATTATGAAGAAAAGCTAAATATAATTTTCCTGTAAACTTCCCAGTTTTTTTTCTACAGTGCTATAAAGTGAATTTCATAAATACATAATTTTATAAATATCTTTCCTTACGGTAAAGACTTTAACTTAAAAATTGTATGTGTTAATTAATCGCCATTATTAGTTAACACACTATTTTGATAAATTACATTACCCAAGAAAACAATTTTAATCCAAACTTTTTGAACACCCTATATTTCACATAAGTTATGATTAATAATTATTCCTCGCCCAATTTATTACAAAAAAAAGGGACTCTGATTGATCTCTGTAGAACATTTTATTTCCGAAATTTTTCTGTTTTAGTCTTACTCGAACATGGCATCTATCTACAATTTTATTAAGGGCCCATTTCATAATGAATATTAAAAGGTCCATTAACTACTGGGACCAAGATTTTATGGACCTTTTATTATTATGAAATCGGCTCTTAACAAAAATGTGCAACGTCCCGGGGGTTAAATAACCAAATGTATACATTTGGGCCTCAGTCGCCTTAAACTTGGTTTCGTAGCCCTTAACTGGATAAGGGTTCTACTCTTGATATAAGAAGCTCTCTGTAAAGGAACTAAACAAATATATCTAATATAATTAAAACAGTTGTACAAAATATATCACAAGTGGATATACAAAAATATAGGACTCAATATAATAATAAATAGACAATAAAATATCAACTTACGAACTCCACTAAATATCTTGGGCACATGTCACAGCCCTTGGCTAACTATTTAAAAACGCAATCATTAAAAATACAAAAAGACTTTTAATTCACACTATAGAGATCCTGAGCCTCCGGTCGGAGTCTCAAGGAATCTCCTACAAGGAGGACCTCTTATGGGGAGGATCCTGCCCTGTGGAAAAAACACCATGCGTCCACTCGAGATTATTTTTATAACTTCTACAAGGTTTATTGTTATGAAATTAATGTTTAATAAATAACACAGGGGAACAGCTGTTTTGGTGTCGAGGTTTTTTGAGCTGATTCTATATCAATTTGATGTACTGAATTCAAATAACGTATTCATTTTTACCTAGGAGCTCAAATTTTTAAGATATACAATTTTAGAGAAATATAAGTTACATTATTTTAACTCAAATCCGTAAGTGTAGTAAACAAAAGTAGATACGAAATTTTAATTTTAGTTATACAAAATACAATATTATGTCGTACTTACAAACAAAAAAAAGAACATTGAAGAAATCAAATAGTCACTCAACACTTCAAAAGCTTCTTTTCCGCGACATTCTTGAATGTTTTTTTAAACAGTCCCTTTTTAAACTCCAGCAGTAATCTGCCATCATGTGCATGTCCCATTCTCATTGGTAGCGGTCCTCCATAACTTTAATATCTTGGTGAAATCTTTCACCTTGTTCCTCACTCATGTCTCCTAAATTTTCTGGAAAACGGTCTAGTGGTTGTGTAAATAGTGTATTTTAATACTCATATTGCACCCTAAGGATTTGAAACTATTAAGCATCTTGTTAACCATTTCAACATAGTTTTGAGCTTTATGTTTGCCTAGAAAATTTTCTACAACTGCAACAAATGATGTCCAAGCTTCTCGTTCAACTTGATTCATTGAATTTATGAAGGCAGGATCCTTAATTAATTGTCTTATTTATGGGCCGTCAAATATCCCCTATATATGCAAAACGTGACCCATTCTTATCAAGAGCCTTTACAAATTGCTTCATTAAGCCCAACTTTATATGTAATGGAGGAAGTATGATTTTTTGTCTTTCAACCAAAGCGTCGTTAATGACATTCTTTTTCCCAACGTCCATGTTTTCTCTTTGATTCCAATCTTTTCTAACCCAGTGGTGTGTTTTGTCCCTACTATCCCAGAGGCACAAGAAACACGGATATTTCGTGTAACCACTTTGCTGCCCAAGAAGAAAGTTTACCATTTTTAAGTCTACACAAATCATCCATTGATGTTCATGATACTTTATCTTCTGCAAGACCAAAGCTACGGTATTATATTCTTCTTTTAGTTTCATTGAGTGAGCTAGAGGTATTGAATCATATTTATTCCCATTATGTAGAATGACACATTTTAAACTTCGCTTTGAACTGTCAATAAATAGGCGCGAATCATCTGGAATATATTCAGAAAGTCCCATTTCTTTCATGAGTCCATTCATTTCTTGACAAAATACAAGATTGTCTTCTTGAGAAAAGAATGGAAGCAGATACTTTTCTCTTGTACGGTAAAAGGTAATTTTGGTTCCTTGTTCCAATAAATTTTTGTCGTTCAACCTAGAAGCCAGTACTTCAGAAGCTTTTTTCGATAAATTGAGATCCCTGGTGAGATTATTTAATTCATTTTGATTGAAGCGTTGAGGAACTGATGACGTCTCCTCATAGTCACTGTTAGTTTCATTAGCATCAGAACAGCGATCAGAGGGAAAATATTCGTCATCAGAGATATCTGGTAGCCGATGAAATGTTGGAACCGGTATTTCATCTGAGTGCGGGATAGGGCGTATTGCCGAGTCTACATTGGGATAAGTCCTCTTACTGCGGTTATTTCGATTGATTCCTTTAGAAACAGAAATAACAATCATTGGTTTTTTGGTTCCCTCCAAACCATTGGTACGCCGAATTTTAGACATTTTCTTTTCCCGGTAGTCCACTGCCGTAAATGCTCTGTACAAGTTTTACATACGTGATGAGGGGCCCACTTTTTGTCCTGATCACTAAGGTTAACTCCAAAATATCCAAGATACGCTCGCTTTACAAAGTCTGTAATAGTTTGTCTGTTTTGTTGAAACATGTATTCTCCGCATATATAGCAAAACACATCAGGTTGATTTACACAACTTCTTCTTGAACTGGAACCTAAACTCATTTTAATTCTGTTCAATAACACAAAAACACTCTTTTCTTAACATAAAATAGCACGCCGAATTCGATCTACTCTCATTAGTAAGAAACTTACTCCAGTTAAAGGATTAAAAGGGTCAGTTCAGGTACCTTATAGGCAATGGTACCACTATTTATAGATTTACCTGGAATTTACTCAATTACAGACTGACAATAAAACCATTGTACTTACATTAATGAATATATAATAATTTTAGAACTCTCATAAATAAATATACTGAATAAAAACCACATTGGTAGATAATAAGTTGATGTATCTAAAAAAGTAGAGCTGATAGAGAAAAACGGATTGCATGTACAGATTTAGCGTCCCGAATATAGTTAAAATCAGCTCTAAAACCCCCAGACACAAAAAAAAAAAAAAAATTTTGTTGCCCTGTGTAATCAACCTTGCACTTGATTGCAACTTAAAACAAATTGTCGCCATAATTAAAAAAAAGTTTTATATACAGGATGTTATTTAAAAAATCAAAATTAGGAATTTTTACGAATCGTGACAATATGTATACAGTCAGTATTGATATGATTTTTCTCTAACCAAAAGACAGCTTTTATTCTAGAAATATTGGGTACTTATTAGAATGTAAACAAATAAACTCTAACAATTTAAAAATAATTATGAAAAATAATTTTTAGTTTACTAGAATGCATGGGGAATTTCTATAAATAAATGTATAATGAATTATATTTGGAAATATAACCCAATATACGGTTTGACTTATTTTTATAAAATATAGAGGATTATTCCAAAGTTGATACCGTTTTCTTAACTGAGTACGGAAGTCATAAATAAGTCTGGTGATCTGAGTGACTGCGCAACTAGTCCATTTCAACCAATCCACCTTATAATGTCTCAAAATTCCTACGCTGGGAAGTCTAGAGATTAATGTAATGCCCAGAATTGATTTTTTTTTTTTAATTCTGCATCTTTATTTTTATAGTACATGCCCACTGAGATCGCACTAGACAGACCCAATATTTGTTTTTGTTTTATTCATATTTATTTTAATGATTTATTTACTTATTTAAGAAGTATTAGCTTTGGAATATCTACAAAAAATATGGTTTATTTGGACAGATTTTGTTGTAAAATCCTATACAATCGAAAATATTTTACTAAAGCTTATACCTCGAGAATCGAGTGAGATAACTAAAAAAGTCATTGAATATCTTTTATTGAAACAATTGAAAAATATCGCAGTTTGTTTAATCTTCTAAATGAAGTGTGGTTCATATTTTTTATACTTTTTTCTTTGTTTAAAAATACTTCTAAAGTATAAAAGAAAACAAAATCATAGCGCCATAGAATTCTGTTTCGAGAGAAAAGTTTGCCTCGAATTTGCTCGTTTATTTCATATTCAGATTCAGTCCACTAAAAAACACAAGAATAAGACAAAAAGTTTTTTCATTCATGGCATGTGAATTAAAAAATAACTTATACATTTTTGATGGGGTTATATTTCCAAATTTGATGAAATAACTATTTTACAAGGGTAATATTTTTATAGATTTCAACGCTAAATACTTTTGGAATTGGACAGATTTCCAATCGTACCTGGATTGCGTTCTAATATTCACGATAGCTGCTTCCTTGTTGATGTACATTTTCATAGATTATGTGATTTTCGTTGAAACTGTTGGTTTTTTGGCTTTGTCCACTGAGGCTATGTTAGGAACGCCTCAATTGGTGAAGAATTATAGGAATAAATCCACTGAAGGGATGAGGTAAATATGAATTTAATGAATACAATATATTATCAAATGTAGAATAAATTAGTAATTAGTAATAACTATTGATTTTGTTTGCTGCATTTTTAATTTTTACTAACGATTATTTTTGAAAAATCACGGGTTTCAAAAATATATTTTTTCATACCATATTTGGCACAGATTAAATTATTAGTACAGTACATGTTCAGAGTTGGAGATTCCAGTGAATTTGAATTGGAAGTTGGTTTTAACCAAGTGTGTTTATACTCTTTGGCATATAGATAAGAGTTTGGAGAAATTTTGTAAATATTAATAAAACCTTGCAAGTCGGTTAACAGCAGGTTAAACCACTGATGAGAAATTTCAGAAACACAGTGTCTTAAGAGGAAATAAAATGTTGATACCAAGAATAACGATAAGGGGGAGGGAAGTTGTGAGAAGCCAGTGAAGTGGATTGCAATGTTATACTTGTAGATAACATTTAACATCAGAAGAAGTTAAATAAGGTGAGGATGCTGCAGTTGAGATAAACAGCGTATGGGACAAAATTAGGAACGAACATAATATTAAAGCAGTTTAGGTATTGCAGCTACATAGTATCGGCCATTGAAAACCTTCCAATACGGTTTGCTAGTGTCGAAGTGAAAACTACACTGAATTCGCATTAGTGCAAGCAGGAAACTAATTGTGAATTGCGAATAGGCACACAAGAGCAGACACGGAGCTGTCACAATTACCATTGCAAAGTAATTGAAGTACCAATTACTAGGCAACTAGAAAACTATGCAAATTACTAATTACTTTAGTTTTTTAAAAGTGTTTGCAATTATCAATTACTTATAAATGGAATTGAAAATGTTAAATTATAATAATTCAATTGCTTTTGCTAGTAATTCAATTACTTTATCTGCGTCAAATACCTTCAAAGTAATTGAATTATTTCATTTAATTGAATTACCGATGAGTTTTTAAATATCAATTTAATAAAAGCCTATGTTAATCTTAAGAATAATATATTACACAATTACAAAAACAATGATGGTTTACAACAGAGTAATTTTTTCATCAATTATTTAAAAAAAAAAACATATAAAACATGTCTCCTTTCTACCTTTCTACCGGGGCCGATGGAGGAAGGCAGGTGTTAAATTTAAAAAATAAATATCTCATGACAGACTAATTATTTAGAGCAGTAATTTCTGTGTTTGGATTATTAAGGTATTGCAAAATTTCCAATTCATCTTTTTTCTTATTACTGCTAGGTTTCGTTATTACAGCTGGCGAATCTTCTAGATCAAAGAAATCATCTAATTTTGTTTGGTTGCCTTTGATGCTGTTCCAGAGCAATGTCCAATATAATAATTTTTGTTATTTGATCCTCGTTTTTATTTAAAGATTGCTCAAAATTTTGACCCATCTTAATTTAAATTGTGGCAAAGTAAATGTTGCAACCATTGCATCTTTAGCTTCTTTTGTCGAGAAGTCAAAGTACTTCTTAAACCTTCTGAATAAAGCGTCACTGCAAGCGTCCAAAATTGGTCTAGCAACTTTAAAGTGAGACCCTAGGCATGGTAATAAATAACCAAAAAAATGCATTTTTCTCGCCTTGCAAGATGTCTAGAGCACGAGCTAAAGGTCTTAAAATTATACAATGTAGAGTTAGGTATTCTATTTCAGATTCTTTAAACATCTGGTTTTTTATATCAAGTTTTTCGAAAAGTGTGCACAACTTGTCCGTTTGTTTTAAAACGTGTTCCAACGCGTAGCTCCTGGATAACTTAAATTATTCCAAAATAATTTCGCTGGTCTTTGGTCTACTGGCCATCCTCAAAAGTGCGGTACACTTGGCAATAGAATTGGTGTGGCGGGTTCTTAAGCTTGGATATGGCGTTCTTGACATCTATTGTTGCAATGAGATTTAATGTGTGACTAGTGTTTGGGTAATTGCAACGCAAACAAAATCATCCTGAATACTTTTAAACTCATAGTAGTCATATTCATCTCCATCTCCGATGTAAAGGAAGGTGGTCAATTATAGACACAGCAGACATTGTATTTGCAATGAAATTTAAAATCCTTCTATCAAAGTAATTTTGATCAATTTTCGCAATGTTTCTCTTTTAGTGAAGTTATCAGTTATCTTTCTCTGTTTTTTTTTTTTTGATATTGGCAGTTCTTGTTCTTTATTACTTCTTTTATTTTCTAGTTTATTCTCTTATTTTTTTTTTAGCAGATTTATAATCATTATATTATTTCATTGCATTTTCGGCGACATTATTTTTTTTAAGTGTTTTAGATAGACACGCCAAATGTTCCTTTAATGGTTACACTTTTTGGAAGACATAATTGACATTGTGCTTGAAAATTTTTTTCTAACTCATTTGACTGAGATACTTTAAAAAAAATCCCATCTAAATATGGACATGTGTGTACAACAGCAAGTTGAACGCTTTCACTGGGAATGTTTTGTCTTACATCGGAAATCTCACTGCATTAAGATATTTTCGAGAATATTTTGCTTGAGGAAGCAGAAGTAACGTCCAAACAAGTTTTGAATTTTATGTTTCTTATATTAAAAAAATCCGGAATTGATCGCTTTTTCTCTTCTTTTCTTTCTATTTTCGGTGTATACGTCGGATCTTCCGTATCTGACAGGTCTGCGATTAATGAACAACTTTTTTTACTATTAGAGAGATTCTATAAAGAAATAAAACCAGAGTTACAAAACTCAGGACTCAGGATAAAATCAGAGTTACAAGATCGGAATATTTTCTAGTACTTCTATTCTACAGTACCTCTAAAACTCCCGACACGACATCTGAGACACACATACCTCGTCATGGAACATGTAAGACGTAGGTTCATAATTTAGAAGAGTAAACATTTCAAATGAACACAGCTTTTAGCTGAATCAATGTTTTTTAATAAAATTTTTAATTTTTCGGTAAAATAACGTAGTCATTAAAAAAATACAAAATTTAAATTTCCTGAAAGCAAAAATCCAAAATTTATTCGGAACTTTCCAAATGAATTTAATTTTTAAAAAGGTCCTGAAAGGCCCAATGTTAACCTTCATAAATTTGGCAAAGTCCTATGTCCCAATGTCAACCTTCATAAATTTGGTATAAGTCCTATGTTCCACTACATGTTTCCATAGATTTTTATTTATACTTAAAAATAAAAAAACTTTTTTTAAGATAAGGAATATAAATCGCCCCACTGAAGAATTCGTTTATTGCAAACCCCCAATTTAAGCAATGCTCTGTATACAGTATGACCCATTTGGAATGAAAACATCCTGTAAAATGTTTATTTTTCGTCCGATTTCAACCAAACTTTTTTTAAATAGGCCTTCAAGCATAACTCTATACTGGCACAGTATGTTAGAATTTAGATTCATTTTTTTTTTTCGACGCCAAATAGATGAAAATTTACCTGGCAATTTTTCAACTCTGAAATCGGAAACCTTTAAAATGCCATTGTACCAAATATCAAACCCTAATTTTTGTTATTAAAAAAAAAAAGCGACGAAATTAAATCAGATAACACCCAGTATGAACTTTAAGTTTCCTCCGATTTTAGCCAAGCTATGTTTAAAATGTATAGGATGAAAAACTACATTTTTTAGAAGGCCTTTACAGGCCTTGAAAATTAAAAGTTAGACCTGAAAATATTTCTAAAAAACAGAGTTTTTTAACCTCTACATTTTGAAAAAGGTTTGACTGAAATCGGAGGAAAATTAAAACTTATAGATTTTATCTGCTATTAATACCCACATCAAATTTAGTTTTGTCGCCATTTTTTCTATAACAAAACATTATTCTTTGCAAAATTGGCATAATACCATTTTAAAGGCTTTCAAATTCAGTGGTGTTAATAGTTTCTTAATAAATAAAAGAGTTAGGTAGTACTGGTAGTAGTAAATCCTGGTGCTTAATGTTTTTAAGTCTTATCTTTTTCGATTATAATATTCTTACGACAAAATGAAAACGTCATTAAACCATCGTAACGCTTAGAAATAAATTTAACAACAAATATTGTAAATTAATGCCAATACTGCCCACTGTACTAGTAGCACTGGCCTTGCCACACATGCAAGTAAACTAAAATACAAGATTACTCTTGGCGGGGAATCACAACCAGTTTTAAATCTTTTATATTTATAAGAAATTCAACCTTTTAAGTTAAATAACCGTTTTTTGCAGTCCATCCACGTATTTAGTTTATAGAGGTACACACTCGTTGTAAACTGAATATATCATTTTGTTTTATATAAAGATAAAAAAAGATTTGAAACCTAACATACCTAACCTACAACATGCACTTACCTAAAGTTTGTATAATAACTTTATAATGATTATTATTGGCAATGATTACTGCTGATAAGCAACAAATGAACAGAAAGAAACGACTATCCCAATAACTTTCTGAATTAGTAAAATCAGCAGATCAACCACAAATAAACAGAAAGCAATAACACACTACAGTTTTCTACAATTTTTAAATATGAATTGAATATTTTATGCTAATTGAAATACAATAAATGAATTGAATTACCCCGTACTTGAATTACTATAAAGGAATTGAATTGTTCAAAAATTAATTCAATTACTCAAATATCTTTAAAGTAATTACCAATTACAATTACTTTCTAGAAAGTAATTGAAGTACTAATTAATTCTAAGGTTTCAAATACCTAATTAAATTAAGGTAATTCAATTACTGAAAAGTAATTTAATTCAATTATTTGACAGCTCTGGGCAGATATCCCCACAATTCCCACGCGGCCAGGCCATTGGCAACGTTAATATTATTCGTTTTCTTATCGATCTAATGCGACACTAGCAAACCGTATATGAAGGTTTTCAATAGCCGATACTGTATATAAAAAGAATATGTTTATATTACGCCAGACAAGAAGATATAATTACATGTTGACACTGTTAGTCAATGCCAGATATACCATAAAGAAAGGGACATCGTTAACTGTGTATGAGGGCCACCGAGCTGGTACT